CATTCCTGGGATTTGGAACCTGGATGTGAAAAGGCAGAGGCTGCATTCAGGAGGCAAAGTGCCCCATTCTGCGCCATTTCCGTAGAGTGCTCGATGTGAGGATAACGCAGCAGCTCTGCTCTGCCTCCCTCCTGGGTTTCCCCAATAGGTCGTGATAACCCCAGTGCATGCCCAGTAGCTGGCACGTTGCTTCCAGCCTTTCTGAGTCCTGTGTTTTGTCTCCAGGTTGGAGAGCCCGCTGTGCACGTGCAGGGGCAGGAGCCGCTGACCGCGTCCATGCTCGCAGCAGCCCCTCCTCAGGAGCAGAAGCAAATGATAGGTGGGTGCTGCTGCTGCCCTGCTTTGGGTGGCCCTGGGCACAGCCAGCTGCCCGAGTGTGGGGCTGTGCAATACGCAGGCTTGAGTGCACCAGGGGAAACTGAGCTGCCAGGAGAGGCTGTCAGCCTTTGTGGGACTGCTCTGATGTGGTGCTGCATTTAAAAAGAAGAAATCCAGGGTAAGGAGGGAGGAATGGGGAAAAGGCAGCCAGCTCCCTGGCAGCATTAGCCCCCCAGCAGTGAGGCAGCATCTGCCGAGCTCTGGAGCAGAGCTCTTCCCTGCCAGTGCTGCCAGGTGCCAGGAATATCTGAAAGTCTTTGAAGCCCTGGGCCACGCTGCCTTGCTGCTGTCCTGAGCTGATGAACAAGTGGGTCTCGCGGCCGTCTGTGGGCTCTAGGGGTGGCTGCCTCCCTGCCGACGGAGCAGCCGGTGCCCACGGCCTGGGAGCTGGAGCGCTCATGTTGGACAGCAAGGAGGCCTCCCTGCAGCATCTTCTGTGGGCATTTGCGCAGGCAAAGAGAGCAGGTCGTGAACCTCTTCTCTGGGAAGAGACTGCACCTGCCAAAACTGGCCCCCTTGGCTGCATCCTGGCAGGCACGGACCACGCTGGCCGTGTGGCTCTGGCCTTCAAGGGTGGCCCCATGTCCTGTTGCTCTGCTCCTGCTGCTATCCGCTTCCCTGCAGCAGCTTCCACCTTTGTGGACACTCTCTGCACCAGACAAGCCGAAACACCGGCCACATCTGCTCGGGAGAGGCCTGGGAATAGAGCAATTAGGTGGGAGAGGAGGCTGGGCAATGCCAGGAC